TATTATTATTATTATTATTATTATCATCATCATCATCACCATCATCATCATCATCATCATTATCATTATTATTATTATTATTATTATTATTCTTTTTGCCATGTCCATGCAGGACTTGGGCAATCATAGCTTCCCAAAGCTTCCTACTCTTCATAGCTCTTAGTAAGTTTTATCTTTTCATTATCTCACATAGTCCCTGTTCTGCCACACATTTACACTAACACATTAGATAGGTTACTCACTGTTTCCTCTGTCTCTCCTGTGAGTTTCAGATTCTCCAAGCTCTCTTTCTTCATTATATGTTCTAGAAATTTCAACTGTCTCTTTCTAATTCTATGTATAAGCATGCTTTTTGCTTAAATTTTCTTTAAAACTTCTTCATCACTTACATTTTGAGTTCATAGTATTCTCAGCATCCTTCTGTAGAACCACATTTCTGTTGCCTCAAGTCTCCTCTTCATCTGTTAGGAGTATGTCCAATATTCACAACCATAGAGAAAGACTGATATTGCATAAGTCTAGTAATCTTTTCTTTGTTTCTAATGAAATTTTTCTGTTTCTTAATACTTTGTCTGGGAATCTTTATTATGTCTACACATAACATGCAAGAGAACTGAAAAAATTCTAGCATTTATCAATTAGTAGCAGTCACCACAAATTTTTGTTTTTTTCTTGCAGTGTTTAATTAGTGATTTAAACTCTTTCTTAGACATTGATTAATTTAGGCCATAGATATAACTTAATTACAATCATACCATCCTGAAAATGGCGACATAAATGATTGGAAAATAAAGTTAATAATTAGTTTTCATGTATACTAGACACCCCAAACTTTTAGCCTTAAAAATTTGAGTGAAAAGTGAATATTAAGCCTGAATGGTTACAGAATAATCAGTCTACCATATATACTCAAGTACAGTACAAGTTTTTATGATCAGTTTTTTTTACACAAAAAAATAGGGGGTTGCACTATACACAGGTAAGTTTTTTGAAGAGTTTAAAAATCATGCATTTTCTATGAACAGTTACACCATACACAGGTAAACTTTTTCTGGAAGGGTTAAAATTCATGCAAAAAATTCAGAGATCGCACTATGCATGGAGTTGTCTTATACATGAATATATATGGTAATTAGCAGTTC